ATTTAAAAACATTAAAATCCAACCCCCCCCCCCCCCCCCCCTCTAACCCTAAACAAAACTTAAACTTACTTTAACAAAAACCACAACAAAATGCAATAATTATAAAAAAAATAAAACATATTTAACAAACGCATTAAAAAACAAACAAAACGAACGTCAAGTAATTTCCCTCAAAAAACAAAAATCAAACGTTTCATATTATTATTATTATAGCATAACGAAAAATTAATTAAAAATTAATAATAAAACATTATTTAAACAAACAAAAAAACACATATAATTATTATAATATAACAAAAATTCATTACATTTTAAATTTAAAAAAAAAACAAAATAAAAACAACACAAAAACAATTTATGAATATGTATAAAATTTAACAAAAACAAAATCTACAAGCAAAAAAAAAACAAAGAAAATACAAAAATTAAATAAAAAAGAAACATAAACAAAAACAAGTTATTATAAATATTATGCAAATAAAATGATTACACAAAAAATTACAAAAATTTAAGAATTGTGTTGTTATTTTGAGTGTGTTATTTCCGGCAGTGTCGCCAGATGTGGGGATTTTCAACAAATTGGGGATTTCATGTTTTAATTGGGGATGCAATTTCAAAGTCTACATTTTTCTGGCACCACTGATTCCTAGAGTTGTATAGGGCTGTCAACGGATGTGGAACAAAAGAAGAAATTTTTCTTAGAGGTGAGTTTTTAGTGTAAACACAAACCTTAACAAAGAAGGAAAGTTGTTCAATATTCAAGACAAAAACCTAAATAATAATGTTTCACAATAGTTACTCACAAATATAGCTTAAAAGAGTGTAATGTTTTATTGGCAAAAAGTAAAATTAAAACAAAAATTTGCTTAAATCCAAATTTTATACCAACCATCAATGAAAATAAGCATGTATTGTGTTTATCATTCGTGTAACATATCGGAACAAACGTGTATTTATAAGGTTTGTTTGGTATTGAAAATTTAGCAAAATCGTTTCAAAATTTCTCCTAAACATTTGGTCCGCCCAGAATGTCATTACTACATTGATGATTATTGCTACACAAATGATATAACTTTCCTTAAGTTAGTTTTAGAAATTACACTAGTAAATATAGGAACCTATTTGACACTAGCCGCCATAAAAGAATCCCCTCAGCCCATAATTTTCACCAGACCATAGACGCGATAATCTGGACTATAGTCCAGATTACGAAGGAAACTATAGTACAGACTAGAGAGTTGATTACAAAAGATACTTTAGTTCAGACTATAGACGAGACCATAGTCTACAATCCAGACTATATACGAGAATATAGCCCAGACAATAGATTAGACTATAGTCCAGACTATAGACAAGAATATAATGAATATAATCCAGACTAAAGACAAGAATATAGTCCATACGAGACTATATACGGGACTATAGTTCGGAATATACATAAGATTATAGTCCACACCATAGATGAGTCTATGTTTCACTATAAACGAGGCTTGAGACGAGATTACAGTACGTACAATAGACGTGACGATAGTGCAAACTATACAAGAGACTATAGTAGAATCGACCATAGACGAGAATATATTCCACACTATAATCCAGACTAGACATGAATCTATAGTCCAGATTATAAACGAAACTTTAGACAAGACTACAGTAAAACCTATAAACGAGACTATAGTCCAGGCTATACACGATACTAGTGACGAGACTATAGTCCAGACTATAGACTACACTATAGTGCAGACTATGGACGAAACTATAATGCAGACAAGGCTATAGCGCAAAGTATAGACTACACTATAGTCCAGTCTATAGCACAGACTATAGTCCAGGCTACAGTCCAGACACTAGTCTTGGCTGTAGTCCAGACTCTAGTCCAGCCTATAATCCAGGATATAGCCCAGACTATAGTAAAGCCTATGGTCCAGGCTATAGTCCAGGTTATAGTCCAGATTATAGTACAGACTACAGTCCAGAGTCCAGGCTATAATCCATGCTTTAATCCAGGTTATAGTACAGGCTATAGTTCAGACTACAATCCAGACTACAGATCAGAATATAGTCCAGTTTATAGTCTAGAATATAGTCCAGTCTATAGTCTAGACTATAGTCCAGTACACTATAGTCCACACTACAGTCCAGGCTATAGATCACACTATAGTCTACACTATAGTTCACACTATAGTCCACACTATAGTCCACACTACTAGTCTTGACTGTAGTCCAGACTCTAGTCCAGACTCTAGTCCAGACTCTAGTCCAGACTCTAGTCCAGGCTATAGTCCAGGTTATAGCCCAGACTATAGTAAAGCCTATGGTCCAGGCTATAGTCCAGGTTATAGCCCAGATTATAGTTCAGGTTATAGCCCAGGCTATAGTCCAGGTTATAGTACAGACTACAGTCCAGAGTCCAGGCTATAATCCAGACTAATGTCCAGGCTATAATTCATGCTTTAATCGAGGTTATAGTACAGGCTATAGTTCAGACTACAATCCAGACTACAGATCAGAATATAGTCCAGTTTATAGTTTAGACTATGGTCTACACTAAATATAGTCCAGGCTATAGTCTACACTATAGTCCACACTATAGTCCAGGCTATAGATCACACTATAGTTCAAACTACAGTCCGACTAAAGTCCAGACTATAGTCCACACTACTAGTCTTGGCTGTAGTCCAGGTTATAGCCCAGAATATAATAAAGCCTATGGTCCAGACTATAGTCCAGGTTATAGCCCAAGCTATAGTCCAGGTTTTAGTACAGACTACAGTCCAAAGTCCAGGCTATAGTCCACACTATAGTCCAGGCTATAATTCATGCTTTAATCCAGGTTATAGTACAGGCTATAGTTCAGACTACAATCCAGACTACAGATCAGAATATAGTCCAGTTTATAGTCTAGACTGTAGTCCAGTCTATATTCCAGTTAATAGTCTATACTATAGTCTAGAGTATAGTGCAGTTTATAGTCTAGACTATAGTCCAGTCTATAATCCAGACTATAGATCAGACTATAGTTCAAACTATAGTCCAGACTATAGTCCAGACTATAGTCCAGACTAAAGTCCACACTATAGTCCACACTATAGTCCACACTATAGTCCACAACATAGTCCACAATATAGTTCACACTATAGTTCACACTATAGTCCACACTATAGTCCACACTTATATTCCAGGCTATATTCCGGACTATAGTAAATTATATTTAAAATTACTAAAATATATAAGTACAGTGGACGTCCACTAGTACGAATTATATAGTGTCAGGCCCTTTCGTAATACCGAAAAATTCGTATTATTGAACAACACATTTTGTATGTTTAAATTCAAATAATACACATAAAATATTGGATTTTATTTATTTTTGTTTTATTTTTCATGAAAAATTACATAACGGAACAAAATATAATAAATGTGTATTATTTTAAATAAATTTCTTATACATAAACAGGCATAAAAGGGACATATTTACGTATATGAATTGTTAATTTTGAAAGTATCGTGAGTCCAATAGTTGAAATGAGATATATGTAGAAGGATTTAAATTTTAATGTTTTTAAAAAGATGTGTGCCAAAGACAATTTGCAATTTACATATGTGTTCTAAAATGTATTAAAATGTTCAGATTACATAAAACTTTTATTAGAAACTTGAATGGAATATACCACAATTCTCTAATTTATAATTTTCTCTTAAAAATTAGAATAGTTATCCTTAAACCCATTGTTTGGAATGTGGAGTCACACTACTTTCAAAATTAACAGTTCATACATACATATGTATATAAATATCATTTTACTTATTAAAAAATCCATCATTTAACATCGATGTTTATTACATTGTAAAATGATTCTTACGGCTTTTTCAATAACAGCGCTTTTGAGGCTTCGATATTGTTCTCAGCAGAGTTATTGTCGGGAACTAATAAAATACTTTCCTCATTGGCGTTATCATCCAATTTAATTTCTTCTCTTGGGTCATCAAAATTCCAATAAAATAAATTAATAACACTAAATAATTGTTGATTTGTAAATATACATGCAGTAAATTGTAAACTTCAAAATTACTGAGCTTAAGGTGAATGATACCGAAATAATAAAATAAAAACATAATAAAAACTTCATTCATACGTAAATAAAACCAAAATTCCCATAAAAAATGCGTTATTCGTACTATCGAACAAAAAAATTGTGACTTTATTCGTACTATAGAGTAGACAATGCAACAATTTTGCCATTCGTATTATTGGATATTCGTAATAAAGAGTATACGTACTATTGGACGTCCACTGTATTTACCTTTTAGATATTACAATATTTCATTAAATAAAATACATTCCCAAAATCAAATGCAATATATTTTTTAGGTCTTTTTACAATAAGCATATTTATTATAGTTTTTATTTCTTTTGACTATTTCTGTTATATTGTTGTACATTTTATAATATTTTCTGTTACATTTTTTTTCAATTATTTCAATATTATTGTTCTTGTGCAAATACATATACACAACTAATATAAGAAGTACTAATTAAAATATCAAAACGAATAAAATATTAAAAATTGCCACTAAAGAAATTAAAACAAAATTACACAACCTAAAAATTGAACAAAATAGTTTAAGTAAATAATCAAGCCTTTTTTAAAACAATTACAATTAAATAATTAATTATAATTAGGTAAAAGTACATTGTTGGTTAATTAAATATTTACTTTTGTTAAAAAGGTGTTATTGATTTGCTGATGTGTTTGTTTAATAAAGTTGTTGTTATTTAAGGCACATTAAAATAGTGTGATATCCTTAATAGTTTAAGCCTTTTACTTCTTTAGTTCTTTTCTTTTGTTATATGTATATTTATGTAAGTAATTCGTTTCTTGTTTAAGTTTAAAGTATTGTTTTTTTGGTTTCAGTTATATTTTAGACTATTTTCGTTTAATTGTTACAAATTTGTGCTTTTCTTTACAAAGTTTTAATTTATAAAATACATATGATTATTCTTTTTTTATTTGGTGTCTTTTTTTTTTTGTTTTGTTTAAGTAATTTATTAAATTGTGCTTAAGGATTGTTGTTGTTCTTTTGTTTCTCTATTTTAATATTAAAATTTAAACTTAAAACTAAAAAAATACGTTATAATTATTACATTAATTTGTTGTCTTTAACAAACTATAGTTAAGAAAAAAAAAAAGATTTACTAAAGATCTCTTTAAGATTATGGGAAAACTAAAGAGAAAACTAATAATTTTTAACAATAATAATAAATTTGATTTTAATAACTTTAATTAAGATATTGTATTTTAAAGGTAAATATTGCAAAATGATAATAGAAATTAAATATATAAATAAAAATCCTTTTACATGTCCAGCAAGTTTCTGTACTACTTAATTCTTAGGAATTCAAAAGTAGTGAATGAATTAAAAATTCGTCCTGTTTGTATTACTTTTTTATATAGATCATGAGAGTTCACCAATGGGAGCATTTTGTAGCCACAGATCGTGTATGAAATTGTACAAATTATCGCTGACCGAGACCTAAAAGTGAAAACATAAATTATTATTAATAATGTTTAATAAAAAATATCTTTGAATGGGCATAATTTCCAATTTGTCATGCCATTAATTTAGCTGCCTTTTTTATTAAGTGTTAAACAAATGTGAATATATCGGAAATACACCTACATTTACCTTGTACGGTGTGGGATTTAAAGTGCGTTTATGATCGTTTCTTAAGGTTTTCAGTGACATTTGTACACGTTCACGCACTTGTTCCAAGGTTGGTAATTGTTGACAGATTTTACCATTTTGCCAATAGATTTTGTACAATGATTCAACATGGGTTGGAATGACATAAGCACGTTTCGATTCTTGGAAAGGATGACGACATAGAACTTTTTGTCCCACAGCTGGTGGGGGTTCAGTGACTTTTTGCAATAGATCAATTAAAGCATGACCATCAGCGCTATATAATCTTTAAAATAATCAAAAATTATTTAGTTTTAAAGTTAAAATTTTGAAATAATTTTGAAAAATACCTATAGGCATTTTTATGGCCTGGCATGGTAACCTTCTCTACATCTTGACTTAGTTTGATACGTGGCTGACCATTGATTTCAACCAGTTTATAAACACAACCTAAAGCGGGTTGTCTTTGGCAGGTAACTACAAATAACAATAAAACATTAAAGAACTTTTATTAGTTCCTTTTTAATATATACCACTTACCCAAATGTGTACCAATGCCAAAACAATCAATCTTATGTCCCTGTTCATTTAAACTCAATATTGTATCCTCATTGATATCATTCGAGGCCACAATTGTAAGCTTATTAAACCATGGTACTTTAAAACGTTCCGCTACACGTTCAAACGATTCACGAGCCATACAGGATAAATAGGCTAAATCGCCCGAATCAATACGTATGCCAACAGCACGATAACCCAAGTCATTGAGACCCAAAGCGACAGCACAGAAATTAAGTAAACCACTCCTAAATTATATACAAAAAAGTATTTGCACAAAGATAGACAAGAATAAGAAGAAAAATATGTATTATAAATTGTTTTAAAATTGTGCTATATAATTAAAAAAATTGTATAAAATACTAAATAATTTTACTAAATTGCATTGCTAACTGTGTTGGTGGTGTAAGTACTATTTTTTTTTGTTGTTAATAAAATCTAGTAGTAATGGTGAGAGTTAACAAAACAATTTGTTTATAATTTTAATAAATTATGAAGATAAAACGAAAAGTTTGTTTTCAAAGTTTGTGCAAACTTGTTAAACAAGTTTTAAATCATGTTATCCTCAATTAATCATTAAATTAAAAAAGTTCCGACTGTTCCAATTCGTTTATAAGAACATTCCATATCTATAGGTCTATGAATTTAAACTCTATTAGAACCGGATGAATCAATTAATGTTTCTGGAACCTATCTAGCTATCTATCTATCTATCTATCTATCTATCTATCTATCTATCTATCTATCTATCTATCTATCTATCTATCTATCTATCTATCTATCTATCTATCTATCTATCTATCTATCTATCTATCTATCTATCTTATCTATCTATCTATCTATCTATCTATCTATCTATCTATCTATCTATCTATCTATCTATCTATCTATCTATCTATCTATCTATCTTCTATCTATCTATCTTCTATCTATCTATCTATCTAGCTATCTATATAATCTATCTATCTATCTATCTATCTATCTATCTATCTATCTATCTATCTATCTATCTATCTATCTATCTATCTATCTATCTATCTATCTATCTATCTATCTATCTATCTATCTATCTATCTATCTATCTATCTATCTATCTATCTATCTATCTATCTATCTATCTATCTATCTATCTATCTATCTATCTATCTATCTATCTATCTATCTATCTATCTATCTATCTATCTATCTATCTATCTATCTATCTATCTATCTATCTATCTATCTATCTATCTATCTATCTATCTATCTATCTATCTATCTATCTATCTATCTATCTATCTATCTATCTATCTATCTATCTATCTATCTATCTATCTATCTATCTATCTATCTATCTATCTATCTATCTATCTATCTATCTATCTATCTATCTATCTATCTATCTATCTATCTATCTATCTATCTATCTATCTATCTATCTATCTATCTATCTATCTATCTATCTATCTATCTATCTATCTATCTATCTATCTATCTATCTATCTATCTATCTATCTATCTATCTATCTATCTATCTATCTATATATCTATCTATCTATCTATCTATCTATCTATCTATCTATCTATCTATCTATCTATCTATCTATCTATCTATCTATCTATCTATCTATCTATCTATCTATCTATCTATCTATCTATCTATCTATCTATCTATCTATCTATCTATTTATCTATCTATCTATCTATCTATCTATCTATCTATCTATCTATCTATCTATCTATCTATCTATCTATCTATCTATCTATCTATCTATCTATCTATCTATCTATCTATCTATCTATCTATCTATCTATCTACTATGTTAAAATTACAGCTGTTAAATTTTCAAAACTAATTTTTTCTCACTGCGAAGTATCATAGGACCAACATTTTTAATTTCGAAGTGTTCCCAACCAAACAATTAAATTAAAACTTTTTTAACTCTACAATCTACTAAATAAACAAGAGACCTAATTAAGAAATCTAATAAATATATCACTACAACAGTTTTTGCCTTTTCTATTATTATTCTAAGTAAAAGAAAACAGCATTAAACATTGTTTTACAAAAGCCATGCAGTGGTATCTCTCGGACCATTTTATGAAAATTTGAAAAACAATAACAAAAATAATATGAATGGAAATTATGTAACTAGATTACAATGTGATATGTGGTAGGCTTTGCAAAATAGTAGAAATTTTGAACTAAATTGAAAAATTTTATGTATATAAAATTTGTTTTAACAATTGGTGGTTTTTCTTTATGAAGTTTTGAAAATATTTTTTTTGTTTTGTTTCTCTAATACCACAGACAAAGACAATTTAGCAATAATAAATACATACAAATTAAACACACACATATAAATATTAAAATTATATAATAGTATTTTGTTGTTGTTGTTTTAAAAATATGATTTATAATTTGTAATGAATGATTTTTATTTTTTTGATATTTTCGAATTGGTGTTTTACATACCTCTGCCAAAATAGTGCCGGGAAGTCATTTGTTTTAGATATTTTTTGATTATAGTAAATTTTCTTTTATTTTTTAATTGTTTGTTTGTTAGACGATGAAGGTAGCAATGAGTAGAAGTTTTTTTTTATAAAACAGTTTCATTCAGTTTGTTTTTTAAGAATAAAAAATAAATTCAAATTAAAATGATGATTAAAAGGAAAGAAAAATTTTAAAAAGCCAATAAATAAAGACTTCCAGAAAGTAATAATAGAAAACAGAACACAAAAAAGACTAAGGTTAAGAAGTTAGTATAAGGAGTATAGATAAAAATTAATATTATAAATTATAAGCAGATTTGTTAGATGGTGTTATTTGGAAAAATTAGAAGCTTAAGTAATAAAGTAAAATGTTATTAAAAATAATATTCACTATTTGCAGTTTTCAAATAACTTGCTCTAGAACGGGTGCTAAAAAAACACATCGGTCTAGTTTATAGTCTGGTCTAAAGTCTAATCTATAGTGTAGTCTAAAGTCTAGTCTAAAGACTAGTCTAAAGTCTAGTCTAAAGTCTAGTCTAAAGTCTAGTCTAAAGTCTAGTCTAAAGTCTAGTCTAAAGTCTAGTCTAAAGTCTAGTCTTAAGTCTAGTCTTAAGTCTAGTCTAAAGTCTAGTCTAAAGTCTAGTCTAAAGTCTAGTGTAAAGTCTAGCCTAAAGTCTAGCCTAAAGTCTAACCAAAAGTCTAGTCTAAAGTCTAGTCTAAAGTCTAGTCTAAAGTCTAGTCTTAAGTCTAGTCTAAAGTCTAGTCTAATGTCTAGTCTAAAGTCTAGTCTAAAGTCTAGTCTAGTCTAAAGTCTAGTCCAAAGTCTAGTCTAATGTCTAGTCTAATGTCTAGTCTAATGTCTAGTCTAATGTCTAGTCTAATGTCTAGTCTAATGTCTAGTCTAATGTCTAGTCTAATGTCTAGTCTAATGTCTAGTCTAATGTCTAGTCTAATGTCTAGTCTAATGTCTAGTCTAATGTCTATTCTAATGTCTAGTCTAATGTCTAGTCTAATGTCTATTCTAATGTCTAGTCTAATGTCTAGTCTAACGTCTAGTCTAATGTCTAATCTAAAGTCTAGTCTAAAGTCTAGTTTAAAGTCTAGTCTAAAGTCTAGTCTAAAGTCTAGTCTAAAGTCTAGTCTAAAGTCTAGTCTAAAGTCTAGTCTAAAGTCTAGTCTAAAGTTTAGTCTAAAGTCTAGTCTAAAGTCTAGTCTAAAGTCTAGTCTAAAGTCTAGTCTAAAGTCTAGTCTAAAGTCTAGTCTAAAGTCTAGTCTAAAGTCTAGTCTAAAGTCTAGTCTAAAGTCTAGTCTAAAGTCTAGTCTAAAGTCTAGTCTAAAGTCTAGTCTAAAGTCTAGTCTAAAGTCTAGTCTATAGTCTAGTTATAGTCTAGTCTATAGTCTACTCTATAGTATAGTCTGTAGTCTAATCTGTAGTCTAGTCTATAGAGTAGTCTATACTATAGACTATATTCAGTCAAAACTATAGACAAGACTATAGACTTTATAGTCTTGTCTATAGTTTTGACTGAATATGAATATTTTTTTAAATTATTAGTACATAAGATTTTTAGCTTATAAGTTAATATCAAATAAATAAAAATTAAAAACGTTTACCTTTTCAAAATAAAATTAACAGCAAAAGAAAATAGATATGAATTAAAATATTATAATTATCACCTCGTTTTGTGTGACTTAAGGAAGCCAATTAGGACCGATAACTAATTTCAACAATGTGTCTTAAAAATTTTGCTTGTAATAGTGTATAATACAATATTAGGAAAATTAAAGCCAATGTTATTATGTATTTTTAATCATTCAAAATAAAAAAAAAGATAAATTAAAGAAAATTGTTTAAAAGTGAAAACGAATTATTTCCGTATGTTTTTAAAATTGTTATCTACTTTTAAACATTTTTTTCCAAAATTTTTTTAAACTAATAAAATTTTAAAGAATTTAGAAAATTTAACATAACTCACAAAACAACATGACACTTGCTAATAGATATATAAACTTAAAGAACTAACCATAAAATTACAAAATCACAAAAGCATGCTTAAGAAATACCAATTAAATGTTTAATATTAATGAATAAACCATTTAATAAATGTTAATTTAAATACGAATAGACATTAAAAAGAGCAAAGCTTAGAATTAGAAAAGTAAAGAAAAGTCGTATGCCAGATTTATAATGACATTTTTCAAATAAAAAGAGCAATTAATAGAACCAAACGAAACGAAACTGGAAAAAAAGAACTTAATTACAAAATAGAAATTACCTGAATGACTTCTCGACGTATTTTGGCAGATAAGCTTGGGGCGTTAAAAATGACGATGACGGTGATGATAATGAATTTAATTCCACTGAATGTTTATTATTCGTTATGTTTGTGGTGTTGCAGGCTTTATTGGCGTTGTTCTTATGCGAGCCATTTGTTAAAGCATTCGAAACAGTTTGACCATTTACATGTTTTTGTTCTAAACACTTTTTTCCATTTGAAGGCTGATGCGTTGATATTTTGCCATTCATTTGAGAGGAGTTTGTAAAACCATTTTCATGTTGTTGTTGTTTGTTAGAATTTGAGGAATTCTTAGTTTTCATAACATTTGTTGAGGTTTTGGAATTGATACCTGGCTTTATATGGTTTAATTCTTGTGTTTTGCTTTTAGGGCTGTTAGGAGTTTAGGAGAGTTTTAAATAAAAATATAGATTTGAAAATTTACAACAAAAAATACAAATGAATCAATTAATCAATCTATCAAATTTTAAACTAAACACTGACGGGACAGGACAGGTAGGTGTCTTATTATTTACTTGTCATTTTTTTTTTTTGTAAATGTTAAAGAAACTTGTTCTAGGTTTAAAAAACTAGTACAACACTAGGTTAGAGTGCAATTATTAGTCTTGATTTCTGTTCAAAATTAGTATGTTTTAATAGAGTAAAATGGCAAAACAAATAAAGTTGTATTGTTCCGAGAGAATTTGCCTAAAAGCGAAATACCTCTTAACATCATACGTATCGACTAAAGCCATGAAACCATCAGGAAATGCTATGGCGTATGAGACCATGGCTGCCAGTTCACCCTCCGATGACTCTTCCATTGAAACGTCTAAAACCGAAGCCAGCGATTGACGATGCTTGACGGCATGTTCCAGTAAATCGCCAGTGACACCTGGAAAATATTAAATCAAAAGTAAATAAGTATTTCATTTTAATTCAAATGCTTTCTGAAATACTAACCTGTGACTTTGTGTTTTAAAAGACGTGTTTTCAATTCACCAATACCCGAAAATGAGGTAATGTAAGCATGAGCATGTGTGCCTTTAACAGGAATATTAAACAATTTGCCTGCCAATACATTAGAAGTACCATCGAAACCGCCTTTAAAAGAAAAAAAAATATTAAAAGGTTAATAAAAAACGGCACTAAAAGTTGTTTTGTATATATGTATAAACTAGACTATAGACTAGACTATAGACTAGACTATAGACTAGACTATAGACTAGACTATAGACTAGACTATAGACTAGACTATAGACTAGACTATAGACTAGACTATAGACTAGACTATAGACTAGACTATAGACTAGACTATAGACTAGACTATAGACTAGACTATAGACTAGACTATAGACTAGACTATAGACTAGACTATAGACTAGACTATAGACTAGACTATAGACTAGACTATAGACTAGACCATAGACTAGACTATAGACTAGACTATAGACTAGACTATAGACTAGACTATAGACTAGACTATAGACTAGACTATAGACTAGACTATAGACTAGACTATAGACTAGACTATAGACTAGACTATAGACTAGACTATAGACTAGACTATAGACTAGACTATAGACTAGACTATAGACTAGACTATAGACTAGACTATAGACTAGACTATAGACTAGACTATAGACTAGACTATCGACTAGACTATAGACTAGACTATAGACTAGACTAGACTATAGACTAGACTATAGACTAGACTATACTAGACTAGAGACTATAGACTAGACTATAGACTAGACTATAGACTAGACTATAGACTAGACTATAGACTAGACTATAGACTAGACTATAGACTAGACTATAGACTAGACTATAGACTAGACTATAGACTAGACTAGACTATAGACTAGACTATAGACTAGACTATAGACTAGACTATAGACTAGACTATAGACTAGACTATAGACTAGACTATAGACTAGACTATAGACTAGACTATAGACTAGACTATAGACTAGACTATAGACTAGACTATAGACTAGACTATAGACTAGACTATAGACTAGACTATAGACTAGACTATAGACTAGACTATAGACTAGACTATAGACTAGACTATAGACTAGACTATAGACTATAGACTAGACTATAGACTACACTATAGACTAGACTATAGACTAGACTATAGACTAGACTATAGACTAGACTATAGACTAGACTATAGACTAGACTATAGACTAGACTATAGACTATAGACTAGACTATAGACTAGACTATAGACTAGACTATAGACTAGACTATAGACTAGACTATAGACTAGACTATAGACTAGACTATAGACTAGACTATAGACTAGACTATAGACTAGACTATAGACTAGACTATAGACTAGACTATAGACTAGACTATAGACTAGACTATAGACTAGACTATAGACTAGACTATAGACTAGACTATAGACTAGACTATAGACTAGACTATAGACTAGACTATAGACTAGACTATAGACTAGACTATAGACTAGACTATAGACTAGACTATAGACTAGACTATAGACTAGACTATAGACTAGACTAGACTAGATAGACTAGACTATAGACTAGACTATAGACTAGACTATAGACTAGACTATAGACTAGACTATAGACTAGACTATAGACTAGACTATAGACTAGACTATAGACTAGACTATAGACTAGACTATAGACTAGACTATAGACTAGACTATAGACTAGACTATAGACTAGACTATAGACTAGACTATAGACTAGACTATAGACTAGACTATAGACTAGACTATAGACTAGACTATAGACTAGACTATAGACTAGACTATAGACTAGACTATAGACTAGACTATAGACTAGACTATAGACTAGACTATAGACTAGACTATAGACTAGACTATAGACTAGACTATAGTCTAGACTATATAGACTAGACTATATAGACTAGACTATAGACTAGACTATAGACTAGACTATAGTCTAGACTATATAGACTAGACTATAGACTAGACTATAGACTAGACTATAGTCTAGACTATATAGACTAGACTATAGACTAGACTATAGACTAGACTATAGACTAGATTATAGACTAGACTATAGACTAGACTATAGACTAGACTATAGACTAGACTATAGACTAGACTATAGACTAGACTATAGACTAGACTATAGACTAGACTATAGACTAGACTATAGACTAGACTATAGACTAGACTATAGACTAGACTATAGACTAGACTATAGACTAGACTATAGACTAGACTAGACTAGACTATAGACTAGACTATAGACTAGACTATAAGACTAGACTATAGACTAGACTATAGACTAGACTATAGACTAGACTATAGACTAGACTATAGACTAGACTATAGACTAGACTATAGACTAGACTATAGACTAGACTATAGACTAGACTATAGACTAGACTATAGACTAGACTATAGACTAGACTATAGACTAGACTATAGACTAGACTATAGACTAGACTATAGACTAGACTATAGACTAGACTATAGACTAGACTATAGACTAGACTATAGACTAGACTATAGACTAGACTATAGACTAGACTATAGACTAGACTATAGACTAGACTATAGACTAGACTATAGACTAGACTATAGACTAGACTATAGACTAGACTATAGACTAGACTATAGACTAGACTATAGACTAGACTATAGACTAGACTATAGACTAGACTATAGACTAGACTATAGACTAGACTATAGACTAGACTATAGACTAGACTAGACTAGACTATAGACTAGACTATAGACTAGACTACAGACTAGACTACAGACTAGACTATAGACTAGACTATAGACTAGACTATAGACTAGACTATAGACTAGACTATAGACTAGACTATAGACTAGACTATAGACTAGACTATAGACTAGACTATAGACTAGACTATAGACTAAACTATAGACTAGACTATAGACTAGACTATAGACTAGACTATAGACTAGACTATAGACTAGACTATAGACTAGACTATAGACTAGACTATAGACTAGACTAGACTATAGACTAGACTATATAGACTAGACTATAGACTAGACTATATAGACTAGACTATATAGACTTGACTATAGACTAGACTATAGACTAGACTATAGACTAGACTATAGACTAGACTATAGACTAGACTATAGACTAGACTATATAGACTAGACTATAGACTAGACTATAGACTAGACTATATAGACTAGACTATAGACTAGACTATATAGACTAGACTATATAGACTAGACTATAGACTAGACTATATAGACTAGACTATAGACTAGACTATATAGACTAGACTATAGACTAGACTATATAGACTAGACTATATAGACTAGACTATATAGACTAGACTATATAGACTAGACTATAGACTAGACTATAGACTAGACTATAGACTAGACTATAGACTAGACTATAGACTAGACTATAGACTAGACTATATAGACTAGACTATAGACTAGACTATAGACTAGACTATATAGACTAGACTATAGACTAGACTATATAGACTAGACTATATAGACTAGACTATAGACTAGACTATATAGACTAGACTATAGACTAGACTATATAGACTAGACTATAGACTAGACTATATAGACAAGACTATAGACTAGGCTATATAGACTAGACTATAGACTAGACTATAGACTAGACTATAGACTAGACTATAGACTAGACTATATAGACTACACTATAGACTAGACTATATAGACTAGACTATAGACTAGACTATAGACTAGACTATAGACTAGACTATAGACTAGACTATATAGACTAGACTAAGTTTTTCTGGCATCTATTTTAAATAATATTTTTACAATGTTTATTACAATTCGATTTATTTTGCAATCACCTGCAAAATAATTAATCAACTGTTAAGTTCCGCCTATTCGTACCGTCGCCAAAACTATTCTTTTTACACTCAAAACATCTACACATTTTCATATTTTGCAGTGTCAATTAAAAAATATCCATTACCGGTAATGGGTGAGTAATTAAAGGAAACAAAAAAAAAAAAAAACATTCTTAACGCAGAAAAAGTAAAACGGAAATTCCCCAACTATTTTGTTTATTGTGTTTTTTTTCGTGTGTTGGTTGAAAGTTTTGCAGAAAAGGGAAACATAAATAATGTGTGTTATAATATGAATTTTCGTAACGAATAATTTACGACGTGTTAGTTCAAAGCGAAAACATTTGCGCAACCATTAAAGTAAATACAAGGAATATATATACAAAAAACAATAACAATATTAAAATCCTGGTACCAAATGGTACTAATACCGGCAGCAACTAAAACAACGAAAAGCTAAAAGTTTTTTTAAGTAACATATTCAAAAAACTATTCATACTAAAATACATACATTTATAATACAGGGATTTTCTTTTCGATATGTGCAAAAGTACTAACATATTTTTTTTTTCGATATGAAAGTTTTTAACAACCACCCGCTGACTGTTTTGTTTTCAACAAAAGTTGAAGTATTTGATATAGCGGAAAAACAGGTGTTATGAAGGAGAGACATACATACAACGCTTTCGAAAAAGGAAACATTTGTAACATGTCTTATACATCATCGTCATCGGCAACATCATTGTTATCGAATATTCCTTAAATGTGTATAAAAATTTAAAGAATTTCGCAAATGAATTCCAAACATTTGATAATAAATTGTTGAAGGTACATATGATATTGCATGTATATATGCCGTTAGTTGTTGCACCCCCTCCCACTATAGCTAAATTGTTTTTGTTAACAGCAATAGTAAACTAAGCTGTTAATATTAAAAAAAAAAGGTTCATGAATCAATAAAGCATTTTCTTCCACTATGTTTGTTTATTTCTTTTTAAGGTGATACATTTTTGAAGGGAAATAGGTTTTGTCTTTCCTTTGTTTTTGGCAATTTTAATTGATTATAATAAATAAAAAGAGCATGCCACCGTGTAGGTCTTTATTATTATTTTGGCAATAAAATTTTATATATTCACAAACATTTTTTCACACTTATTTTTTTTCCAAAGTATGTATTCCCAAACCAATAAAGAATCATGACCTTATTTGTCAATCATACAATTTGACAGTTAAATCATACAAACAAACACACATGTATATGAGTCTATGAATTTAAATGGAAAGATTTGTTTAAGGTCTTCCGAAAAAAAGAATGCTCTTTTGCAGTGGTAAAGGTTAACATTTGTCACGTAAAGTTTTTTGGCTGATTTTTCAATATGATAATTTTGTAAACACACATATTTGTAACTTTTAGTGCTTTCTCTACAATATAACTACTTACCAATATAAGAATATTTCGACGCAGATAAACCACCATCTGGACCCTGAGCTCGCCGTAAACCAAATTCTAAAAGATTAACATGTTTGCCAGCAACCATGCGATAACGAGCAGCATTTGTGGCCATTAAACTGCAAAACAACAAAATATTTATTAAATCATATTATAGTTGAAAATTTTCTTATTTCAAACTCACCTTGCATAATTCACTAAAGTCAATAGAGTTGTCTCTAATAATTGTACTATAATTAAGGGTCCCTCAACTTTAATAATGGGTACACGGGGAAATGCTACGGTACCTTCATCAATGGCATACAGTGTAACATCTTTTGCCGTCAAATTACCCAAATAATCAAAGAAATCATTTTCTGTACCCTCGGGCAGGGTTTGACGTAGATATTCGATATCTAAACGTATTATAAATAAGAATTTTAAATTTTTTTATACAAATAAGCCGGTACTAGACTATATAATAGACAATATACTACACTATAGACTAGACTATAGACTAGACTATAGACTAGACTATAGACTAGACTATAGACTAGACTATAGACTAGACTATAGACTAGACTATAGACTAGACTATAGACTAGACTATAGACTAGACTATAGACTAGACTATAGACTAGACTATAGACTAGACTATAGACTAGACTATAGACTAGACTATAGACTAGACTATAGACTAGACTATAGACTAGACTATAGACTAGACTATAGACTAGACTATAGACTAGACTATAGACTAGACTATAGACTAGACTATAGACTGAGTCGTTGTTTATCACTCGTTAAGAAAACAAGTGTTTATTTTACAACAGCTTCCTACATCTTAAAAAAAACGATATACAGTTATTTCAAATCTCTTTTGTTCTCTACTTCGCTTTAATTTTGTGATACTTGTGAACAAATAAAAAAAAAAGAAATAATCCAGAATAACCCAACAAATAATCCAAAATGAATGATCCTCCTGATGTTGCAAAAAAGAAAAATTATAACGCTGTAGGATTACAGTATAATTTTAGCAATAAACTTGCTATTAATTCTACTGGTCCTATCTACCTCATAATAAATCGTATAGAAAGTGAAAATAATTTTTCTAATGTCTCGCCATTCCTCATTAAAAGAGCCATCGACTCAACATGTGGGGGAGAAGTATCAGAATGCAAAAAACTACGCAATGGCACATTATTGATAAAAACAAAAAATTCCCTCCAGGCTAATAAACTTATCAAACTTACAGCCATGAATACTAACATAAAGATTCAAGTTTCTGAACACAAATCCTTGAACTACTCAAAAGGAGTCATTTACTCTCCCGACTTATTTGGTGTTCCCGAAGAAGAAATCCAACTACATATGGCAAGTCAAAAAGTAACAGAAGTAAAAAAGATCTTACGTAAAGAAAATGAAACTTTAAAAGAAACTGGACTGTTGATTCTTACATTTGCTGCTATTGAACTTCCAGAGTATATCTATATGGGTTATCAAAAAATATATTTGCGTCCTTACATCCCACCTCCAATTAGATGCAATAACTGCCTTCACTATGGTCACCTACAAAAAACATGTGAAAACAATAAGATATGCTACAATTGCGGCAACCCTAGTCATATCAATGCCGACTCAAATGAAGTCTGTACCAATAGTTGTTGTTGTATTAATTGTAAGGAAAACAATATTGATGATTGGAAACATTCAGCTAAAGATAAAAATTGTCCAATTTTCTTGAAAAATAAAGAAATTCAAGCAATTAGAGTTCTCCAAAAAACTTCCATGAGAAATGCTGAAAAAATCTACAATAGCAGACATATAAAACACAATTCTACATACTCAACCGTTGCCAACTCTAATACTCCTAAAATCGCTCGTGCTAAACTAATAACCTATGATGATTGCCTTCTAACAACTTCACAAAATTTATCAACTAATACTCCAGCATCAGGACCTTCTATCTCCAATGTCATCCACAATAATAAAGATCAACTTGTCAATCTTACAACATCGTCTCAACAAAAATCTATAATAATCGACCATATCAAGCAAGCTTCTCCGTCTTCCTCCAACACCCAAAGGACCAGTGTGACCACAAAAATTCTTCCACGGAACATTTCTACCAGATTGAAAAATCAACTGAAATCCAAGTACAAAAATAATAATAATACTAAAATTATCCCTAACTTAAAACGCAATACTGCCAACATCAATGATAAAGATAGTGAGATGGCGGGAGAGTAGAACTCTCTCCCTCGCATTATCCTGCCTCCAGTTCTGTGGCGTTGTGAGGTACACAATAGTGCTTAAATCACTGTAGTGGACTCTGCAGCGCTGCTAGTTGGAGGCATATATCCTAGTTTTTTTAGAACACTAACACCTACTCACATATACATATATTCTTTCTATATTTTTGTTATTCTATTTATTATAATCTACATTTATTTATAATGGCAGTCAATATAATTCAATGGAATATTAATGGATATACTAACAACTACAATCAACTTCAATTAATTATAAAAAAATATAGTCCGAAAATAATTTCTCTCCAAGAGACACATTTCCATTCCATCTCTTATTTACCAATTCCTTTAAATTACAAATGCATTTTTGTTAACTCAGCGACCCACTCCTATGGTGGCGTTGCTCTTCTTATTCATAATTCTATTCAATATACCCCCATCTCCCTCCCTAATGATATCGACTCCATTGGAGCAATTATTCAAGCTGAAAAGAAATTCACCATAATAAATTCATATATTCCTCCTTCAAAAATTTTTAATTTATCAACAATAAGAAACATGTATTATCAATTTGATAACAACATCCTCATCACTGGCGACTTTAACAGTTGGCATTCATTATGGGGATCTACTACAAATAATTCTAGAGGAGAGATTATAGCAGACTACATTACCGAATCCAATATGGTTGTCTTTAACGACGGCTCTCCTACGCATTTCAGCACACGACAATCATTTACAAACATTGATTTAACTTTCGGCTCACCTTATCTAAAAATTCACTCCGAATGGAAAACTATTGATGACCTACATGGGAGTGATCACTTCCCTATATTAATTAAATTATTTATCCCTCCACAACCAACCTTCTATAGACCAAGACCTAAATTTATTATCGACAAAGCAGACTGGATCAAATTTGATGAGTTGACATTAAAATTTGATAAAGAACGTCCTCTTAGCAATGACATCAACAAAGAAGCGTCCCACTTACAAAAGATTATAATTCAGAGTGCCAACCTTTCTATTCCACAATTTAACCCAACCTTTAAGAAAAAAGTTCCATGGTGGAATAACCACTTAAATGAACTCAAAAAAGAGAAAAACAAATTTTGGCAAATTTTGAAAAGAACAATCAATAGTACTAACATTCTTAATTATAAAAAAGCTGCCGCTAAATTTAAAAGAGAATTAAAGTTATCTAAAAGCAAATCAATCTCTGATTTCACTTCTGATATTAATCCCCAATCTCCACCCAAAAAAATTTGGCAAAACATCAAAACTTTTTGTGGTCTAAATCTACCTCAATCCATCCACACAATTGAATCTCCAACAGACCCTAATTTATTTCTATCCAACAGTCAATTAATTGCTGATGAGTTTGGCAAATTCTGGTCTTCACAATCACATGACAATAATTTTTCAGATACTTTCAAATACAACAAACGTACCATTTTTAATACAGATCCCGCCTCCGTCTCCGATGACATGGCAAAAACTATAGATGATAATATAACTGTATTGGAACTAGAATTCGCCCTCAACAAAACGAAGGGTAAAACACCTGGAATTGACAGAATATCATATCCTATGATAAAAAATCTGAACTATAACACTAAACATAGACTTACTCGCCTTTACAATTTAATTCTTTCCCACTTTATTCCTCATTTCTATAAAATTAGCACTATCTGTCCTATACTTAAACCTAACTCCATAAAAACTCATATACAATCTTACAGACCTATCTCATTAAATATTTGTATTTCCAAGCTCTTAGACAAAATAATAGCAAACAGGCTGTGGTGGTTTGTCACATCTAAAAACCTCATTTGCTCTCACCAACTAGGATTTAGAAAAGGCAAATCTGTAACAGACGCACACCTTTACATCGATCATTTAATAACTAAATCTCTATCACATAAAAGACATTCCTCAATCATATCGTTAGACTTTTCAAAGGCTTTCGATAAAATCGGAATACACACCATTATTCACCAGCTAACGGAATGGGGTATTGGTCCTAATATTTTAAGATATATCAGAAACTTCCTAACTAATAGACATATTAGAATAAAAGTCAATAACAGCTATTCTAAAACATATCCTTTATTTAACGGGATACCTCAGGGCTCTCCCCTCTCAGTTATTCTATTTTTAATTTCTTACGATAAATTAAACAAATACTTTCTTTCTCTTAATGAATATAAATTCTGTGCATACGCCGACGATTTCTATATAATAAAAAATCTTTCATCTAAGAAACATCAGACCATAAACATTAACCCATTGATTGATTTCATTAACGAGTGGTCAAATTATTCGGGAGCTGAATTATCTTTGGCAAAATCTAAACACCTACACATTTGTAAAAAAAGAACTTGTCATACCACAGTCTCTACTGGATCTTTCAATATAGAAAACATAGATTCCCTGAAAATATTAGGAATAATATTTAACAGGAAGTACAATTGGAAAGATCATATAAAACACATTGCAAGTGATTTAACAAATAGATTAAATATAATAAAATGTATATCCAACAAAAAATTTAACTGCAATATATATTCTATTATATCGGCGGTAAAAGCTTTACTTTTATCGAAAATTCACTATGGCATTTATTTATATGGATGGTCTCCCAAATCATCTTTCCGAAAAATCATAACAATAGTTAATTCGGCTATAAGAATTTCTCTTGGTGCGTTTAGAACCACACCGATTCAAAATATGCTGTTCGAAGCTAATATAGAGCCGCTTGAAATTACTAGAAATTTTAACACTTTCAAACTCTTGCGCAATATCATTGAAAACATTGACTCCCCTATCTACGAAATATACCTTAATATTTCCATAGAATCTATCTCAAACAGAACTCATTCTATACTGGAAAAAATATTTCAATACGCCAGTGATAATAATCTTCCGACCAAGCCTAATGTAAATTCTGTTACTCCTACCAAACCTCCATGGCTTTTTCCAGTTAATTCTCTTAACTCGTCTTTAAGCGAACACCCAAAAGCTAATACTCCACCAGATATATATCGAAGACTCTTTAAAGAAACCGCAAGTTCTTACGGAAATTACACATTCTTATATACTGACGGTTCTAAAGATTCTTACAATATTTCTTACAGCATAACAACTGAGAACTCCGTTATAAAAACTTCTATTCTTCCTCAATACACAACTATCTTTTCCGCCGAAATTATAGCCATATATGAAGCTCTTAAGCTCTCCATTAATTCGACTAATAAGACTTTGATATGCACTGACTCATTATCTTCTATCAACGCTATAAGTAATCCTCACAGTAAAAATTACTATGCCAACTTTATAAGGAACCTTTTAATAAAACATTTTCCCAGAATAGTTATTGTTTGGGTACCCGGACATTGTTTAATTACCGGTAATGAATTTGCTGACTTATCGGCAAAACTGAGTCTCAAAGCACCTGTTTATTTAACTGAAAATCTCAATACATCTGATATAGTTAAATACATTAAAAAATCTCTAGTACTTGAAACCGATCAATGGTGGTCTAAGACATCACTTTGGTATAAAGAGATTAATCATGAAAGAATTAATATCAGAAAATACCTTAACATAAACATTAAGGAAAACATTAATACCAAAGACTGTCAGAAATTTATAAGACTTAGGCTAGGGCATACATTAATAACTAAAAAATATTTAATAAATCCTCATATTTCTAATCAATGTCCTTATTGCAGAACTGGAACAATATCCATCAAACATATCCTAATCCATTGTACTACATTTAATTCAACCCGTAACTATATGTTCAACATGTATCCTGTTCGATTTCTTTCCAACCCTTCCATTAACAACATCAAAACTATTATTAATTTCTTAAAATCAACTAATATTTATAAAGACATATAAAAACACAAACATACTATTTTCCATATATCCAATACTCACTATTAATCTACTAATTTTGTATATACTTATAAGTAAGACATTATATTAGAAATCTATTATATATATCTATTATCTATTATATAATCTATTATATTATATGTAATTATTTACTATTTGTATTTACATTTCCTCTAGCTGAAGGCCTTAGTTGCCATTGCTTAGTAATAATAAGTTATCCTAATTTCTTATCTTAAGATAACTTATAAATAAATAAATAAATAAATAAATAGACTATAGACTAGACTATAGACTAGACTATAGACTAGACTATAGACTAGACTATAGACTAGACTAGACTAGACTAGACTATGGACTAGACTATAGACTAGACTATAGACTAGACTATAGACTAGACTATAGACTAGACTATAGACTAGACTATAGACTAGACTATAGACTAGACTATAGACTAGACTATAGACTAGACTATGGACTAGACTATAGACTAGACTATAGACTAGACTATAGACTAGACTATAGACTAGACTATAGACTAGACTATAGACTAGACTATAGACTAGACTATAGACTAGACTATAGACTAGACTATAGACTAGACTATAGACTAGACTATGACTAGACTATAGACTAGACTATAGACTAGACTATAGACTAGACTATAGACTAGACTATAGACTAGACTATAGACTAGACTATAGACTAGACTATAGACTAGACTATAGACTAGACTATAGACTAGACTATAGACTAGACTATAGACTAGACTATAGACTAGACTATAGACTAGACTATAGACTAGACTATAGACTAGACTATAGACTAGACTATAGACTAGACTATAGACTAGACTATAGACTAGACTATACGACTAGACTATAGACTAGACTATAGACTACTATAGACTAGACCTATAGACTAGACTATAGACTAGACTATAGGACTAGACTATAGACTAGACTATAGACTAGACTATAGACTAGACTATAGACTAGACTATAGACTAGACTATAGACTAGACTATGACTAGACTATAGACTAGACTATAGACTAGAATATAGACTAGACTATAGACTAGACTATAGAACTAGACTATAGACTAGACTATCGACTAGACTATAGACTAGACTATAGACTAGACTATAGACTAGACTATAGACTAGACTATAGACTAGACTATAGACTAGACTATAGACTAGACTATAGACTAGACTATAGACTAGACTATAGACTAGACTATAGACTAGACTATAGCAACTATAGACTAACTATAGACTAGACTATAGACTAGACTATAGACTAGACTATAGACTAGACTATAGGACTAGACTATAGACTAGACTATAGACTAGACTATAGAACTAGACTATAGACTAGACTATAGACTAGACTATAGACTAGACTATAGACTAGACTATAGACTAGACTATAGACTAGACTATAGACTAGACTATAGACTAGACTATAGACTAGACTATAGACTAGACTATAGACTAGACTATAGACTAGACTATAGACTAGACTATAGACTAGACTATAGACTAGACTATAGACTAGACTATAGACTAGACTATAGACTAGACTATAGACTAGACTATAGACTAGACTATAGACTAGACTATAGACTACTATAGACTAGACTATAGACTAGACTATAGACTAGACTATAGACTAGACTATAGACTAGACTATAGACTAGACTATAGACTAGACTATAGACTAGACTATAGACTAGACTATAGACTAGACTATAGACTAGACTATAGACTAGACTATAGACTAGACTATAGACTAGACTATAGACTAGACTATAGACTAGACTATAGACTAGACTATAGACTAGACTATAGACTAGACTATAGACTAGACTATAGACTAGACTATAGACTAGACTAGACTAGACTATAGACTAGACTATAGACTAGACTATAGACTAGACTATAGACTAGACTATAGACTAGACTATAGACTAGACTATAGACTAGACTATAGACTAGACTATAGACTAGACTATAGACTAGACTATAGACTAGACTATAGACTAGACTATAGACTAGACTATAGACTAGACTATAGACTAGACTATAGACTAGACTATAGACTAGACTAGACTAGACTATAGACTAGACTATAGACTAGACTATAGACTAGACTATAGACTAGACTATAGACTAGACTATAGACTAGACTATAGACTAGACTATAGACTAGACTATAGACTAGACTATAGACTAGACTATAGACTAGACTATAGACTAGACTATAGACTAGACTATAGACTAGACTATAGACTAGACTATAGACTAGACTATAGACTAGACTATAGACTAGACTATAGACTAGACTATAGACTAGACTATAGACTAGACTATAGACTAGACTATAGACTAGACTAGACTATAGACTATAGACTAGACTATAGACTAGACTATAGACTAGACTAAGACTAGACTATAGATTAGACTATAGACTAGACTATAGACTAGACTATAGACTAGACTATAGACTAGACTATAGACTAGACTATAGACTAGACTATAGACTAGACTATAGACTAGACTATAGACTAGACTATAGACTAGACTATAGACTAGACCAGTGAGTTTTTTTTTCCCATAAATAGAAATAAATCCGAATCGGGTCACGATTGTAACAAGCTTAAAAACGGGTATGTTTCAATTAAAAAAAAATGGCCCCTTCATCTCTTTTAGCTACTTACCACTTTCACTATAATGAAAACTGTCCAAAAATTTCATGCATTCATCGAGGCCAGCAAATATGGTAAATTCACCATGGAATGGATTTGTGCGAAAGAATAGATCAAACACTGCATGATCGTCTGTTTTGCCAGATTTCCAATAGGCATAAGCCATAGTTATTTGATATAAATCTGAAAATTGATAAAAATGAACAAGCATTATTAAACTAAATTAGAAAGCTTTTTTTATTAACTAGACTATAGTAATTAATTATTATATTATCAAATGGTAAACAATGTTTAGAACAAATTTGAACATTTGTTTTATTCAATAAAATTTAATTTTTTACTTGCAAAATAAACAAATAAATGTGAAATTGAAACAGATGATGTTTTAATATTTTTAAATTAATAACTCGTTAAATCCAGTCTTAATTAAATATAATAATTATATTAAATTTACGCAATTGACCTTTTTTTAAAAAATAATTAAGTAAACAATCTTAATTTGAATCGATTTCTGAAGTCCATTTCTTATCAAAAGTACCCCAAAAAAACACATATTCTTTAGATTCATTCTTTTTTTATCACCTCCATTTTAAGCCATGCATAATTTCAGTTATCAACAATTGTTTTATTTATTTTCTTTTTTATACCATTTCGAAATAATTTGATATTTTTCAGTTGCGCTCATAATTAAATTTAAAAAAAATGTGTCAGTATCATTGGAAGAAAAAACATTTATAATATGCAATTCATATTTATAAAGTCATATACAAATTACAGCAACATTTTTTACTTTACAAGTTCTAATTATAATTATATATTATCCTGTTTTAAATGATATGAGTACATAATGGTTAATAAAAATATGATAACAACCCATGTTTTCATCTTATAATCTAAAATTACAGTTTACCTTTTAATTATAAAATTATTTCTCAGGAGTGTGTTGATAATAAAAGATAAAATATAATAAAGTGTTATATTTTATAGAAAAAATAATCAGTGTGAATTCTGACAGTGCATCATATTCTAATTTTATTTTATTCCGTCTGTATCTACAGACTAATTTAATATTTGTTCTTAAGGTCTAGTAGAATTGATATAGGGGTATAATAAAACAAATATTTTGATAATATTTACTTATACTTGTATAAGAAGCTATATATAGTGTATATATTAGCTGGAATTTGGCAAATGATTAGAGAAAAGTTTATTGACATTAGATTGTCTTAAAGGAAGGTTATTCTACCTAATAATAAGTTATGGTGGGTCTATAAGTAGATATTTAAAGTATTAACTTTTCATATTATACATACAAATATCGTAATATAAGTATTTATAAATACTTATAAATAACTTCATCCCTTCGAAAAAGACATAGGATCTTTATGGATTTTCTAGTCTAGACGATCTTTATTATCCATGCTTCAGAACCTGATATCGCAGCTGGAGCACTCCTATTATTTTAAGAGCAATTCTATAATTAGAATCGTAGCTTTATAGAATCAATATAGAATGGTATAAGAAGGTTAATTTCCTATTTTCATTTATTAATAGCTAAAAGTTTCGTGATTTTTTTGCATATTTGTACAGTGTGGCTCATAATGTTTCTCAATTAATATTATAAAATGACCTTGAAGAGTATATTTTCTTGTCAGAAATGTACTTGAAATTAATACTAAAAAACATTATTTTTCACATGAAATTAATTTGCTTATTGGTTTATCTAAAATTTGGAAAATTTTTCCAATAACATTGTGACCGACGCTAAAACAATAATATCTAGCAAGTTATTGAACCGAACAAATCATTACATTATACATTTTCGGATATTTCAGAAAAATGTTTTTACGAAAACTTTTAATGATTAAGATATCACTATAAAATGCAAAATCGCCAAAGGGAAAGGGGAGAAAAATCAAAGGGGGCACGAGGGCGGGCGGAGCGCAAGGGCAGCAGGAGAAAAGGCAAACAAGGAAGGGGGAAAGGCCAGCAAGCCAGGACCGAGCGCGAGCGCGCGAGCGAGCGAGCGAGCGAGCGCGAGCGAGAGAGCGAGCGAGCGAGCGAGCGAGCGAGCGAGCGAGCGAGAGCGAGCGAGCGAGGGCACAAGAGGAGGAGCCGGGCGGAGGCCCCGAGGAGCGAGCGAGCGGCGAGCGAGCGAGCGAGCGAGCGAGCGAGCGAGAGCGAGGAGCGATCTATCTATCTATCTATCTATCTATCTATCTATCTATCTATCTATCTATCTATCTATCTATCTATCTCATCTATCTATCTATCGATCTATCTATCTATCTATCTATCTATCTATCTATCTATCTATCTATCTATCTATCTATCTATCTATCTATCTATCTAGCTATCCATCTATCTATCTATCTATCTATCTACTATCTATCTATATATCTATCTATCTATCTATCTATCTATCTATCTATCTATCTATCTACTATCTATCTATCTATCTATCTATCTATCTATCTATCTATCTATCTATCTATCTATCTATCTATCTATCTATCTATCTATTTTCACATATTATGATCCGTTCTGATTCCCTTTAAAGTTGAGAAGAATAACTATTTTCTATCAGCCAGCCTAATGTACATTTCATTTTAAATACATTTGCATTACAATTTACAAAATAAATGAACACTCTAAAACATTCTAAGTTGAATAAATTGAATGAAAAATTAAAATAGAACTACTATTTTGGTACACATAGAAAAAAAAATTAAGTGACGCGACATATTTATCGTACTACTAAAATAGACTACAATATAAAATACATTAGAAATATAAAAACAAAAAGGTAAATGGCCGATTTTATATAAAACTCAAATTTTATAAAAAAATATATTATATTAAAATTATATACATATAAAAATATTTTACAAATACGCGTCTAACACTGAAATGTAATAAAAAGAACGGTTTGGAACAAGCTTTAAAATTCTGCCTAAGAATAATCAATAAATATCCTGCAAGGAAGCAATTCGAAAAAAAGAGGAATATTTACGGCTTATCGAACACTATCAAATAATTTGATAACTACATATTTCATCATATTAATTTCGAATTTCTTATTATGCATTATTTTAGAAGTCGTTGTTATATTTAATATATTAGAATGTAATTTTTATTAACTATAAATACAATTGCAAAAAAACAAAAAACACTCACCTGTTAATAGTGGTTGCACTACACCATTTTGATTCATACGGCCACGATCCATAAATTGTCCCGCAGTATTACTACAACTTAATTCACGGTCACTCATAATGTCAACAATTATTTTATAACGTTTTATTACACACACAATTCAATTTTTGTATAATTTTTTATAATTTAATTTAGTTCAAATTCTTTTTATGTTAAATGTTCTGAAAAAAACAAAGGCACGTGCATAAAAAATTAAATAAAAGAGAAATAATTAAATTTATTGAAAATTTTAAATTTTTATTAAGAAAAAATTGACGTAATTTGAGTTCTATTACAAAATTTTCACTGTCTACAATTCAAGCACATTCCAGTTTACTGAACGATCAAATACTGACTGATCATTCTACTCTTTCGGTTAATTATTTGTTGTGAAATGTCACTGAAGTTAAAATAACAAAATACTTATAAATTTACTCTCAATCTAGTGCGAATTTTTTGTCATTCTCTTTTTTATTTTGGTTGTTTTTTATTCGTTTTTAATTGTTTTCATTAGTAGATTAGAATTGAATTAAATATTTTGTTATATTTGTGTATTATGGGTTTGTATTGTACATTTCTTCTTTTGTAAATGAAAATTTAGCAAGTTTAGTTTGAAATTTTGAAATTTTGAAATTATTTAGTAAGTAAGCGAACATACATATGTGGGTATATTGTTAATTATTGACCTAGGTCAATTTAAAACACTCCAGGTTCTGATGATGAAATTTGTTTACAAATATCAAAATTCGTACTTCTAAAACTTAAAATAATTTCTAAATCTTGAGATTTCTAAAAATATATTATTAGTTTTATTGCAAAAATATATTCACAGTTTTAGTTGAAAATAAATTTCTTAAAATTAGAATTTTAAAATTTAAATATTTCATGAATTTTTGAAAATTTTAAATTTTGTTTTAAAATATATAAAAATGTTTAACTGTTAAAATAATCTCCAAATATCTGATTTTAAACATAGGTTAATTAGAAAATTAAAATTCTATTAATATATATTAATAACTATAAAATGAATTCTTATAAAAGATTTCGAATTTAATTGCTTGTAATATACATATTTGCAAATGTAAGTCATTGTTTTATTTATTTTTATAGCCGTGACAACAACATTAACAAAGCGAAATGATAATAATCCAAATAGCACATTTAATAAATAAAACATGAAAACACTGTTCCTGAATTTCTTATCAGTTTTTGTGAGTGGACCGAATTTACAATAAATGTAGTAAATGCCTACAAGTACATAGATAGATAATTTTAAATTAATTGTATAAAATTATATAAAAACATTCATGAAAATTAGAGCGTTCAAAGAAGCACATTTTTTGGCTCATAAGCGATGGGGAAATAAGATACTAGAACTGAACTAGAACGAAACTAGAACTGAACTAGAACTGAACTAGAACTGAACTAGAACTGAACTAGAACTGAACTAGAACTGAACTAGAACTGAACTAGAACTGAACTAGAACTGAACTAGAACTGAACTAGAACTGAACTAGAACTGAACTAGAACTGAACTAGAACTGAACTAGAACTGAACTAGAACTGAACTAGAACTGAACTAGAACTGAACTAGAACTGAACTAGAACTGAACTAGAACTGAATTAGAACTGAACTAGAACTGAACTAGAACTGAACTAGAACTGAACTAGAACCAGAACTGAACTAGAACTGAACTAGAACTGAACTAGAACTGAACTAAAACTGAACTAGAACTGAACTAGAACTGAACTAGAACTGAACTAGAACTGAACTAGAACCAGAACTGAACTAGAACTGAACTAGAACTGAACTAGAACTGAACTAAAACTGAACTAGAACTGAACTAGAACTGAACTAGAACTGAACTAGAACTGAACTAGAACTGAACTAGAACTGAACTAGAACTGAACTAGAACTGAACTAGAACTGAACTAGAACTGAACTAGAACTGAACTAGAACTGAACTAGAACTGAACTAGAACTGAACTAGAACTGAACTAGAACTGAACTAGAACTGAATAGAACTGAACTAGAACTGAACTAGAACTGAACTAGAAACTGAACTAGAACTGAACTAGAACTGAACTAGAACTGAACTAGAACTGAACTAGAACTGAACTAGAACTGAACTAGAACTGAACTAGAACTGAACTAGAACTGAACTAGAACTGAACTAGAACTGAACTAGAACTGAACTAGAACTGAACTAGAACTGAACTAGAACTGAACTAGAACTGAACTAGAACTGAACTAGAACTGAACTAGAACTGAACTAGAACTGAACTAGAACTGAACTAGAACTGAACTAGAACTGAACTAGAACTGAACTAGAACTGAACTAGAACTGAACTAGAACTGAACTAGAACTGAACTAGAACTGAACTAGAACTGAACTAGAACTGAACTAGAACTGAACTAGAACTGAACTAGAACTGAACTACGAACTAGAACTGAACTAGAACTACTAGAACTGAACTAGAACTGAACTGAACTAGAACTGAATAGAACTGAACTAGAACTGAACTAGAACTGAACTAGAACTGAACTAGAACTGAACTAGAACTGAACTAGAACTGAACTAGAACTGAACTAGAACTGAACTAGAAACTGAACTAGAACTGAACTAGAACTGAACTAGAACTGAACTAGAACTGAACTAGAACTGAACTAGAACTGAACTAGAACTGAACTAGAACTGAACTAGAACTGAACTAGAACTGAACTAGAACTGAACTAGAACTGAACTAGAACTGAACTAGAACTGAACTAGAACTGAACTAGAACTGAACTAGAACTGAACTAGAACTGAAACTAGAACTGACTAGAACTGAACTAGAACTGAACTAGAACTGAACTAGAACTGAACTAGAACTGAACTAGAACTGAACTAGAACTGAACTAGAACTGAACTAGAACTGAACTAGAACTAGAACTGAACTAGAACTGAACTAGAACTGAACTAGAACTGAACTAGAACTGAACTAGAACTGAACTAGAACTGAACTAGAACTGAACTAGAACTGAACTAGATCTGAACTAGAACTAGAACTGAACTAGAACTGAACTAGAACTGAACTAGAACTGAACTAGAACTGAACTAGAACTGAACTAGAACTGAACTAGAACTGAACTAGAACTGAACTAGAACTGAACTAGAACTGAACTAGAACTGAACTAGAACTGAACTAGAACTGAAGAACTGAACTAGAACTGAACTAGAACTGAACTAGAACTGAACTAGAACTGAACTAGAACTGAACTAGAACTGAACTAGAACTGAACTAGAACTGAACTAGAACTGAACTAGAACTGAACTAGAACTGAACTAGAACTGAACTAGAACTGAACTAGAACTGAACTAAACTGAACTAGAACTGAACTAGAACTGAACTAGAACTGAACTAGAACTGAACTAGAACTGAACTAGAACAGAACTAGAACTGAACTAGAACTGAACTAGAACTGAACTAGAACTGAACTAGAACTGAACTAGAACTGAACTAGAACTGAACTAGAACTGAACTAGAACTGAACTAGAGAACTGAACTAGAACTGAACTAGAACTGAACTAGAACTGAACTAGAACTGAACTAGAACTGAACTAGAACTGAACTAGAACTGAACTAGAACTGAACTAGAACTGAACTAGAACTGAACTAGAACTGAACTAGAACTGAACTAGAACTGAACTAGAACTGAACTAGAACTGAACTAGAACTGAACTAGAACTGAACTAGAACTGAACTAGAACTGAACTAGAACTGAACTAGAACTGAACTAGAACTGAACTAGAACTGAACTAGAACTGAACTAGAACTGAACTAGAACTGAACTAGAACTGAACTAGAACTGAACTTGAACTAGAACTAGAACTGAAGTATTACACTATTTATTAAATTTAAAACTCTAGGTTATCAAACATGACCCTAATTTGTTTAAAAATTTTATATGTATTCTCAAAGCCACACAAATTTATGTATAAAATGGAAAATTTATATTTCAAGTAAATAAATTGTCCTTTACAAAAAAAAAATTTAAAATACTTTAAAAAAATAATGAAATTTTCAATTCAATATTTATACAAAAAAAGTCCATCCTACATATATAGGCAATTATAAATAAAATTCTATAAAATATCTATAACAAATTATTTCCATTTTTCTCAAATATTTAAAATCATTTTAAGCTTAAGCATTTATTTATTTGTTTCCAAAAAAAAACCATATAGGAATTTTCAAAAATTTCCAAAAATTTACATTATTCCTATCCGGTGGAATGAGATCATTTATCTATCATATATTTATGCACAATTCAGGGGAAAAAACCGCCAAATAAGAGTCATGATGACGACAAAAATTGTTTAAAATAAAACAAAAAAAGTAAACAAAAATACTTTGGTATTGTTACTAACACTAGATCACTAGGTCAACAAGCAAACACACAGCACACTATCGAACTGACTGTCTGATTCAAAATTTATTATTTTATACGAAAATATTAAAATTTAATTTAAATGTGGACAAAGCAAAAGTCGCGTCAAGACTGATTGCTTTGGAACGAAGACTTGATGTTTTTGTTTATAGCCGTAGTATCTTTTGTAAAATGTTGTAGCAACAAAAGAATAATTTATTTTTTCATTTTAATAAAAACAACTTGTTTATTTTACGTTACTTAGCAGCCGAATGATTGCAAGGAAAACAAAAACGTTAAAGACGATATTGAATGGAAAGATGAACTGAGAAAAGTAAATTAAAGTCACCCCTTTAAGGAAATTCCTGAAAGAAATCGTAGAGCACAACATGCAAAGAATATCAATTGATTATACACGTGAACATTGTCGTCCACCCGATGTCTTCATATGCAATGTTTTGCTATGATAGCTTTAATGATGAAGGTTGCCTGAAGGTCGGTGGTGGCGGTTTACAATTCTTTCACACATAAATGTAAGGGTGGCAGGCATTTATTTTTTTCTCATTAAATGATCTTATAACTTTATTATATTACTTTTGGTATATTGTAGTTAATAATTATTTAATTTATGGCTATATTCATTTATTTATATTATTTTTAATAATTATTAATAAACTGCATGAAAATTGTAACACACTTTTTTATCACTTGTTGAGAATGAGTATCTCATAGATTTCTGTTGGTTTTATAATTGTTTACCACTTTGTTTTTTATTTAATAAAACTTTCGTTTATTGCTATTTTAATGGATTGCTTTTCATTAATTTATTCACAACAGCCGGCCACTTTTATTAATTATTTGAAAATATTTTGCAAAAAAATCTAAACACCGAATAATAAATATAAGAAATTGTCTGCAAATATCTACGCCGACTAAAATTTACAACGCCGTTGACTGACATTAAATAATTTGGCAGCGTCTTTAAATCGTTTGAAAGCCGGCTATGTTTCCAGCTGTGGTATTAAATTTTTCAACGATATTAATCAAGGTACATATCGTCACCTAAAACGCAAACGGCCCTATTTAACATTTTTAAAATTTTACAGCAGAAGCAAAAACTATTGAAATTGAAAAGTTTGTTTCTATCAACGCGATTTACTTATAGTAAATAAACAAATTGTTTAATAGTAAAACCTATCAGTTGTTATGATAGTTGACAATGGCGTATATAGAAATTGGACTTTTTACCTTTAATATTTAAATGTTTATGTAGATAGGTCCTTTTGTTTTTTGTCAATAAAATCGCTAATTTTGGTTGAAGGAGTTCATTTGATAATTGCTAGTGCTGCCAAGTTTATTTTTTCAATGTCAAATTAGAAGTGGGTAATACAGTACTTTGAATTACGGAGATGTATAGTGCATCGAAACCCACTAAATTGCAATCAAATTAAAGCATAACGGTACTTGAAGGAATTTGTTGGAATTAAATTTTGTTTGCATTTCCATAAAAACTGGTAGCAACGTTTTTACACATTTTAATTTTACATTTAAAATCGGAAATCGGCGTATATACATATATATGTTTATGAGAAATATACCTAAAATTACGTTAAATAAGAAAATGATAAGAGTTGTAATCATTTCAGTTTACATAAAAATAGATTTTTATGGAAAGTACCTAAAATTAGCTGTAGTGAATCAAATATGTCCCCAATAAAAAAAATAAAGAAATTCTGAAATAGGGAAGAAGTAGATCTATTAGATTCATATATATGACAAGTTAATACACAAATCCAAATTGGTGCAGTAAAATCTTACATTAGATCTTCAGAAAACTCATAAATCCAATCAACCAAATTTTTTTATTTGTATTTTAAATAAACTGAAAGTTTTTCCGCTTCCTTGATTTAAATTAAATTAATTCAGTTGAGGTTTAGTTTTTCTTATTAATCAATTCATTACTTATTTTAATTCTTCTAAGCAGATTTTTTAAAGAAACATAATATTATAAAAGCCCAAACTAATAAGCATCAACTCTTGGAGGTTCAGCAAATAGTTCTTCCTTCTTACGATCGCCGGACCAGTATTGTTTCATACGTTCGCTACGCATGGCCTGAAAATTGATAAATATATAAGCAGTTAAAACAAAGTCACTAGAATACAGGGTAGACAAAAGACTAGGCTATTAACTAGACATTACACTAGTCTATAGACTGCTACTGGATACACTAGATAAATAATTATTAGATTGATAACAGACTATAGACTAGGCAATACACTAGTCGATAGGATAAGCATTAGAATATTCGATATAGGTACATATGTACTAGATAATAGATAGCCTATAAACTCATCAAAAGACTAGAGTACACACTAGTGAATTAACTTCATTATGTATGTATATACTAGTCGTTAGACAAAAAATTGCACAAAATAAAATTAACCAAATTTTCAAATATTTTTACAAAGATCCTTACCTGGAAACGCAACATTTGCTTGTGCATGGTAAAGCACTCATTGAAATCATCAACTAAATCTTTGCACATCTTTTTGCCTTTTTCAGCACCATAGGCTTCCAAACAGTCCATCATGTTCATTTCCAATTCACCGCATTTGTCATAAGTTTGATGATTGATCAAACTACCAGTCAAATCAGTGAAAGGTGAACGGATAAAGGGTGTAATAGGCATGATGAACTAAAAGAAAATTTTCAGAATATATTACTATTAAAAAATATAAATGTTTACAAGAAAATGCATTATCCCAGAGTTGGCGACCAAGAAGTCTCAATGACGTAACAATATAAAGCTTAAGTTTTACTTGAATATCTTATTAATAAACCGTATATATTATAGGCAGATAGTAATTGAACATTTTTAATAACATATTTTATAGTTTTTATAGGCAAAACGTACCTTTTTGTTGAAGAATTAATAAATTTTAAGCAAAAATTTATAAAATCCAATGCGGCCCAGCACAACAAAAATCCTAATTAACAGTTGCTTATAAAAGCAGTAAAAATCAGCTGTTAAATGTCAAAACAAAGAAACCGTTTTATCGGTACTTAAGTGGTTAAACGATGACAATGATTTGTTTATATTTTCTATAAACACTTCACGTGTTAAAAAATTATTGTAGCGGGTTGTAAACAAATATTTTGCTTTTAAGTTATAATAAAATATTATTTAATTAATGGCTACGTTTAATCAACAACTGGTGGATTTTCTCAAAGACTGCGGAGTTTGTCAAATATGTCAATTAAGATATTTAAAAGCTCGTGGCAATGAATACAAAGATTTAAAAGACAGCTTTGATAAGGTAAATAATTAAACAATTTTTTTTTTACAAATAGGTACCTATTATTATATTATTTTTTAGCTAAAAGTTAATTATGTAGAAGCAACTGAAGATGACGAAGTGGAAAGTGCGGCCAAAAAACAAAAATTAGCCGTTTGTCCTTGTTGTTTGGGATTATTTTCAAAAGATTTCCGGGCACAACTAATTGAGCGTATCTTGAAAACGGATATACAAAATTTTGAATGTAATGACATTGTGGTAGCCATTAGTATGCCAATGTTAGTACAAGTGCGTCAGCTATCTATGTGGTTTGCTTTGTTGGAAAAATTTGGCCCCCGAATAGATAAAGAAAAAGCCCTTGATGTGCCCTTAAAAGAAGCCGTCAAATTGATTATAAATCCCATCGTATGTGAAGAATTAAAAAAGGACTATGATGCAAATGGTATTATGATTAATATACAAGTGACGCATGCCCAAGAGGCAGAAGAACTGGAAAAATTAAAGCAACTACATGACAAAGCATTTCCCACGGCGCCAAATAGCAAACGTCAAGTAATCTCTAGAGGAGTTTTGGAAAAACAGTATACACCTAAGAGAGTGAAAGCAGAATTGTTTAAAGAGTTCTTTCCAGTACCACCACCAGCCGCAGCAGAGCATTTAACATTGGAGTCTATTGATTTGACAGGACCCACCGTGTTCGTAGCCGGGCGCTATCGTAAGATCTCGCGGGAATTATCGCACACACCTTGGATATTAAATGGACAACGTATTATGGAAGACAGTATCGAGGAAGTTATAATGAGAGCTGTAACACCGCACTTTTGGTAGGTATTCGATTTAAAGGCTAGAAATACTAACAGAAAAATAATTTAAATTTCAGTAAAGACTCGTCGAAAGTTATATTCATGTCCAGCGGCCGCGAAGATGTTGATGTACGTTGTCTGGGCAAAGGTCGTCCCTTTGTTCTAGAAATACCCAATTCAATGCGCACCACCTTGACTCCGTCAGAGGCAAATCGCATGGAAAATGAAATAGATAAATCGCTTAAATTATCTGTACGCAATTTGCAAATGGTTAAACGCGAAGAATTAGTACATATAAAATCGGGTGAAGAACAAAAGAAAAAATACTATCGCGCTCTGTGTGTACTACAACAACCTGTAACGGCGGAGATTTTGAAAAAATTAAATTTACCTGAGGGCTTTGAAATACAACAGAAAACACCCATACGTGTTTTACACCGTAGACCATTGCATACGAGACCTCGAATGATTTATAAGCTAAAAGCTATGGTAGAGAAAGAAAACCCCAAAGTATTGGTGCTTGATGTGGTAAGCCAGGCCGGCACTTATATTAAGGAGTTGGTGCATGGTGAATTTGGTAGAACATCGCCCTCGGTATCGTCCATAATTGGACAACCGGTTGACATAATGGCCTTAGATGTCATGGCTATTGATTTGGATTGGCCCAAGGAAATTGACAATAGTTTAGAAGCTGTAATGTAAATACGGAACAAATCCTATAATAAAAAAAAGCATTTCTTTTGTTTTTCTTTTCTAAACCAAGTTTTTTTTTACAAAAATGTTTAAAGATTTTTCTTGAACCGAAGAAACGCATTTCGAATGCTTTAATATATAAGTTTTATGCTGAACATAGTCTAGGGTTTGTAATCCATAAGATTTTGTGAAGTTATCTGGGGCAGTTCCTTAATGCCATCTTTATCCACTACGGCTACATTGAATTTGGGTAGATTGATGACCAAACGTTTTTGTATTTCCACAACACACTTTTTGAGTACATCATAGGCCTCCTCCTGGGTTATGTTTTCGTGATAGTAGCGATCGAAAATACTGGCACAGAACATGCCACCATAACCTTGACCAGCATATTTAACCGATTTAGCATTAGCTAAATAGTCGATATAATGTAATTCGGGACCTTCTTTGGGATCATAGCTGAAAAAATAATACATTAAAATAAGTTTTATTATAGATAAAATATTCCAGGGCCCAAATTACGGCAACGATATCGATTGAAATATCAATAGAATGTAAATGGAGACTTCGATCGATTTCATATGCCATAATTTGGGCCCAGAATTTACTTACCCAGCCACAAACATATTAACTTGATAAGGAGTGCGTGATCTCAAATAATCCGCAAGATTTTTACGCGTAAAATGAGCAGCACACTTGGGACTCAAATCGTAACCATTGCGCATTTTATACAAAGCAATATTTTTCGAAATAAATTCTGTAAACTGTACAGTATCACCGGATTCACCAATTGTTGCTATCATTAAATTATCAGCAATTTTGTGTATTTTATTTTCATCTAAAAGATAATGTAATTGAAAAAAATTCAAATATAATAAGTTTTCCTTGCAACATTAGTTTTTTTGTAAAGTCATTATTGTTGTGGGTCATAGAGGCAGAAGGGAATTGACTTACCTTCTTTCATGACAATAATGGATCTTGCTTGTGTTGTATCGGCAGATACCATAACAAAGTCAGGACCGCGTATACCCAAAATAGTTTCCATTTTATTTAATTTTTCTTTATTTTCTATTTAAAATCCCAAAATTAATGTTTGCAAAAATTCAGCAGCCGGGAATGACAATTGTGTTTTGAGATGTTGTTCACGAAGTTGGCTGCAGTTGGTGGTGCTCGTGTCGATAATGAGGTTTTGAGAACTTTGACAGTGCATGAAATATTTATAGGGTTTTAATGTTTAAGGATAAGTCGATAATTATTTTTTAAGTTAGTTTTTATTGTATAATTCTCAAGTTAAATTATTTACGCTTTTCTTCTATACTGCTATACCTAAAAAGACTTTATAAAAATTTGGAATGAATTTGAATTTTTTCTTATAAACAAAGAACAAATTTAAGACAAGTATTTCGTCGAATTTTTTAAGCAATGTTTTGGCCGATTTTTTAAACAAAATTAATAGTGTCGAAAAAGTAGAAAATATATTCAAAGACTGTCTCTCTCAACTTTTTGGTAAATTTTGTTAGACAAGTATTTTCTAGATAATTCTTTAGAAATCTTCGACGAGTTTTAAAAGTAAAAAAATAAAATTTTTTAAGGTCGAAATGTCGACTAATTTTCTCTGGAACATTGCAACAAGCCTTTTTTTAATAGTAAATTTTAGAAGAGTTTTAAATAAAGTAAAGTTTTAAACCAACTTTTAAAAATAAATTATTTTTACGTGTTTTTTTTAACAATTTTATTTAAACTTCGATGAACTTTTAATATGTACCTATTAATGTTTAGAGAAGCGTTTGATTTATCAGAAAAGTTTTCGGTTTAGGTAATGATTTAAGAAGTTTTACATGTTTTTATATACATTTCAATATAATTAACACAACTATGAAGTACAAAACCATAATAAATTCCCCTTTTACATACAAATTTCCCCCTTTTCACAAAAAAACAACTCTACAACTGACACGTCAACCTTTATCAATACATGCTGATAATGCCGTTTTGTTGACATCCACATAATAAAAAAAAGCAAGAAAAAAAGAAAAAACGTCAATGATTTTTTTGTATTTCACCGTTTTCCTCCTTCGTCTTTTTGCAGTAGTATTGACAGCGAACTGTATTTTTTGAGTGCGTGTCATTATTTTTCTCCAACGATTTTCACTGTTTTTCCCAAGAAAATCGTGGAAAATACAATAATAATATTGTGTAAAAATAATAATAAATTAAAAAAGTAATAATAGAATAGTTAATTAAATATGTCGGGAGAAGTAGTTGAACAAGTAGTGGAAGCTGTGAAAGATGCAACTGAGGCGGCTGTTGAAAATGCAACTGAAACCATAACAAATGCAAAAGTACCCTCAACTCCAGAAGGTATTGCTGTAGCCTATGGCAGTCTGGTTATTATGGCCATGTTACCAATTGTTTTTGGTTCCATACGTTCGGTCAAATTGCACAAAGCTAAAAAGGTGGGTAATTTCTTTACAATTGTTTGCCTTTTTTTTATCATCATGACGAATGATCGATGGATATATGGATAGCTTTTTTGGTGGTAGATAAATTGTCGTTAATGGTTGTGTATTTGTGGTGTGGTTTTATTGTTGTTGGTTGTGATGTTACTGTTGCTAGTACAAGTACTAGAGCAATTGTCTGAAAACAAGTAGTACATGTTCGTATACATAGTAGCTTTTTCGGAACTTTATTTTTATTTAAACAACTCACGTTTAAAACCACATCAGCACTTTCAATATAATTAGACTGGAATTGATTATGAACTGATCAAGTAAAAATGTTGATTATGTATTGTGGTATCATTCATGTCTTTATGCAGATTTATTATTTTTTTCAGATTTTTTTTTACAATAAGTCAAATGCAATACAAATTTTTAACTTATATTTTGTACATTTATTCTTTCTTTTGTACTACAATAAATTTAAAACTCTTTTTATTAGACAATATTTGTAGTCGATACCTTATATTTTTTTATTTTATCATTTCATTCTAATGCAATGAAATAATCTTCATATATGTAGGTACCTTTTTAGCATAAAAAAGAGTGTATGTAGCAAGAGATATGACTATAATCTGAACTATAGTCTAAACTATAGACAAGACTAGATTAAAAGCAAATATATACTCTGGAATATAGTTTGCCTCTTAAATAGCCCCGTACATTTACAACACTACAGTCTGGACTGTTATATGTGCTACCGATAAATTATGTAGTATGTATATCAAATAGTTGGTCACAATCTGCCAAGTATTAAAACAATTCTAATCAGCTAATTCTAAATCCCGTTATATGTACATTTTAAAAGTTATTATAATTATTGTTTTTTGTTATAATAATCAATAATAAATTTCTGTTTATATTTTTTATATTTCTTTCTAGATAAGCGGCGAAAAAGCTGATACAATGACAACAAAAGATGCCATGTTCTTTCCTCTCATAGCGTCCGCTGCACTTTTCGGTCTCTATATTATCTTTAAAATTTCCTCCAAAGATCACATTAACCTCTTGTTGACCGGTTACTTCTTTGTTTTGGGTGTCATTGCTTTGGCCCATTTATTAAGTCCCATTGCCAATTCTCTAATGCCAGCTGCTGTACCAAAAATACCATTCCATATACATTTTACTCGGGGAGAGGGTAAAAATAAGGAGGACATTATCAACTATAAATTCAGCACTCATGATATTGTATGCTTAGTTATATCGGCCGCCATTGGTGTATGGTATTTGTTGAAGAAACACTGGATTGCCAATAATATGTTCGGTTTGGCTTTCGCTGTCAATGGTGTGGAAATGTTGCATTTGAATAATATTGTTACCGGATGCATTTTGTTGAGCGGTCTCTTTTTCTATGATATTTTCTGGGTATTTGGCACAAATGTTATGGTCACTGTTGCCAAGAGTTTTGAGGCACCCATTAAACTAGTTTTCCCACAAGATTTACTTACCAATGGTTTGAATGCTTCCAATTTTGCCATGTTGGGTTTGGGCGATATTGTTATTCCCGGCATTTTTATTGCTCTATTGTTGCGTTTTGATCACAGTACTAAACGTAAGAGTCGCATTTATTTCTATTCCACTTTGGTTGCCTATTTCATGGGTTTGATGGCTACCATTTTTGTTATGCATGTATTTAAACATGCCCAGCCAGCTTTGTTATATTTGGTACCAGCTTGCATGGGTACACCCTTGTTGGTAGCTCTTGTACGCGGAGAACTGAAAACTTTGTTTGCGTAAGTTTTATTAAAAACTGGAAATATTACACGTTTTATTAATATGATTTTATTATTACAGCTATGAAGATCACCCCGAGGAGAAACCTGAAAAGAAAGAGGCTAAGGAAAGCAGCAGCAGCAGTAAAAAGAAGGAAGCTAAGAAAGCTAAATGATTATCAGGTGCGGACACTACAGCATCCGATAATACAACCAGTAACACTACCCCACAACATTCTGCGACAGTTGTTAAACGTTATCCCAAACATTTTACAAATCGTCCAAATTCATACATTTAAATTTTAAATGCATGAATTCCAATTCCTTTCTTATTCACCCCAATCATTTTCCATAAGTGTTGTATCTCCTTTAAACAAATTTTTATTTAATTTTGTTTTTTTTTTTTCTTTTATTACAATTTCTTTTTGTATTCGCTCAATTATTTTGTTTTGTAAACTTTTTTATACTACAACTAATTTCTACTTTTTTATATATTTTTAGAAATTAGAAATTATGATAAAAGTAGTTTAATGCTTACAAATTTCTTATAAACTTTAATCAAAATACAAAATACACGAATTGATAAACTATTGATAATTAACTATTGCAAATATGTAAATAATTAGAAATCTGCCTTTCTTCCACAAAAAACAAACTTTATTATTTATAAAACTATACGATCAACTGCTTTATTTTAGCAGTTTTATATTTTTTAATTATGTTTTCCTTCTTTGCTTATAATAAAATAATAACCGTTTCTTTAATTAGACTAGACATGAAATTTTGAAACAAAAAACAAGAGAAAATTGTGTTTATTTTAACAAAAATATATTGTAAAATTGGAATAAATTAAAATTTATATGTAAAAAAGGAGTTTTATTCTTTTATTTTACTGAAAATGATGAAAAAAAATTTATTTCTGGTTTTCCTTGGAAGCTGATTTAATATTTTCGCAGATATTAAAAAGTACAACTACATCCTCAATTGAAGCTTTATTTAGGAATCTAAGACTTTTTGAAAGTTATTCATGAAATGAAACTAAAGCCAAATGTAGGTTTTTCACATTTATTGTGTATTTTTATAGACATAATCGGAAATACATACCAAACATTTTATCATTTTATTTGCAATAATTTGCAAAATCAACGATATATTTAGAATACGTACATATTAGAAATGTAATATAAAGAAATCTTAATACAAAAACTTAAAAACTAATTTCCTAATAAGCTTCCAACTGTTCCAAAGGTAACCATTTGGAACTTTCTAAAGCATCATATAAATTACGATCAGAATCAAGAGCTTCTCGATTCAACTTATCCACATCTAAGGTATATTTATGTTCAACCAAAGCGTAATCATCTTCATCGGCAGCAGCACCACCGTTCGAAGAAGCGGCCGCTGCAGCAGTTTGTTGTTCATATTGGGCACTACGTTGAGCACTCCAAGCCTCAGCATGTTGAGCTAATGTCTGGGGATTTGAATGTGATTGAGCCATACTCTGTTGATAATAGGCACTAGTGGGGTCAGTGGCAGCTGCACCAGTAGGATCGTAATAATTTTGCCAGGCATTATAGCCCTGCCAATAAGTACTGGTTGGATCATAATACTGGGTATAATCTGCCGCTGTAGTAGCACCTACATTAGTTGAACCACCATAGCCATAGTTGCTGGTGGTACCCAAAGCCACACCCAGTTCATTTTTCGGTTTTGGCACAGCATTGCAAATTTTAATGGGCTTCGAGCCCAAACCCGTATAACCGTTCATATCGTACAAAGCCGACTTTTGTTCATCTTCTATGCCGAAACGTACAAAACCATAACCTTTGGAAAATCCCGAACCATCTAATATAACCTTTGCCGTTTTAATGGAAGTGTATTTTAAAGAAAATGCTTTATACAATTGATAATCATCGACATCCGAACTGAGATCTCCTACCCAAACACTGAATTCTCTTTCGTTTCCAGGCAATTTATACGAATTACTGGCACTATTTAATCGAAATCTTACAATGGGGTTTGTGCCTGGTATGGGTTTACCATTCAATTTATGCATGGCATCCATGGCCCTCTCATCGGTGGCAAAGTTGACAAAACAATAACCAGCCGGTTCACCTGTATATTTGTTGCGCATCAGGCGAACTGTTGTGGGATCTTCGCCCATTTTACGGAAGGCAGCTATGATGAAATTTTCCGTCATATAGCCCTCCAACTAAAAACAAGGATTTGTATAATTTAGATTTTAAAAATACCTTAATATTACTTACACTTCCCATCCATAGTTGACAATGTACAGATGAAGACATATTTTAAATAAATTTGTGAACAATTTGTGGTTTTAAGTGTTTTTTTGAAAAAAAATCTGGGATTTTCTCACGCTTCTTGAACGTTTTTATAAATGTAAACAATGTCAGAGTTGCCAGGGTAACAACAACTACAAACAAGAAAGTAAGATAAAGCCGTTTTCAAGTGGCCACCTGACATGCAATTTAGCAATAAGTTATAAATCATTTAAAAACTACATATTTATGATTTAAATAATAATTTTTAATGTTAATGTTAATGTTTTTAAATTGTAGAAAAAAATAATAAAATAAAGGAAGAATACACTGAAGATGTTTTTTTAATTTTTTACTCACACTTCATATGGCAACTCCATATTTATTTTTAACTGAGTACACGGCATTATCATCACCTAAAATTGACACTTGATTTTTGACAACAACTCTCTTTTCTCACCACCTTTTACATCTCTTTAGTTGATATTTTCGTGTTTTACGCGCCTAATTTTACTCGCTGCTTTTACTTCAAACCAGCTTCGTTGACGTCAACGGAGCTACACCTTTTTACATTGCTGGTATGTCATACCGTAAAGGGCTAGGGTATCGAACATGTGTATTTTAAATGGGAAGTGCAGTTTATGTCAATTCTGCCGACTGCGAAAAGAAATTCTGCTAGAATTTTTCGCGCCAAACTGTTTTCTGCATTTTTTATTTGCAAAAAAAATCTGTTGTTGTGTGTGTGCAAAAATGATAAGAAATGATATTCTTTATATAATTTTACTAACAATTGAAATTAATAAGATTGGGTTGGTTTTGTTGGGTTTAATTTAGTTAAATGGTTAATAACTATGATGAAAATGTTTTTCCAGGCGGGGTTTGTTTTCGTTTAATACCCAAAAGTGTTTATTGAAATCTAGATTTGGCATATTTGTGAGATCTAGAAGATTAAAAAATGTAAGTAATGGTGTTAATTAATTATTTATTTGTCTATAAAAAACGTCTTTCTTTTCAAGAAAGAGGAGGCATCATGATGGTCTCCTGGAAGAATGCCCACAAGAGAGTGGCAATTGTATACCTCCTTAGTCACCTAGGCGGGTGGTGGTCGGTCGGCTAGTGGTGACATGGTATATTATCACCTAGAGGCAATGGACGGAAGCTGATTGCCATATTCAGGGGGTATCCTTGGGATACATACTTATTATTATACCATTGATCTCAGCAGAATCACTACCATACACCCATAATAGAGCGCGATGTCTGTCTGGTGTGTCTTTCAGTGAAGCTTTTGTTGTCTCCAAACACTATGGTGGTTGAATATTTACAAGAAACAATTGTTAAGCCGCCTTTTATACAAATTTATAGCTTTGTAGAGAATGTCTTCACGGACCTAGAGGATATAACCTGGCTAGGTATGTAGATGTTGTTTGGGCAAAATATTGGTACTAACCATTGTGGGCTTTATGTCGACTTTGTCACACTATACCAAATAAGCATTCTTGCTGGAATTAAAGTTTAAAACAAGTTTAATTCCAGTCAAACATTCAAATTTCAAGTGTTGAAATACACTTTCATTACATTTTAATTCAATAGCATTCTCCAGTGAAAACGAAACTTGAATTCAAGTCGAACATTACAATGTTTTTACAGTATAATTCAATGCAGGAAATCTATATACATATATAAAATTCTAACGTTACTGACTGACTGACTGATTCATCATCGTAGAGCCTAAACGGTTGAAGCTAAAGAGCTGAAATTTGGGCAGGAGGTTGGTCTCCCACCAAATGTATCCAATAAGACGGGATTTTTGAAAAAATTTTTGGGGTTAAAAAAGGGTAAAAACGTAAATTCGGTAACCTCAAATCTCCTTAACTAGAAAAGTTACAAAAACAGTTAAAGCTTATCGTCGTTCATTTAAAAAAAAGCGGATAGGTGTCCGGTAATTTTTTCAAATTCGGCCCCTTTGGGGAATAAACGGGTAAAAACTGTAATTTGGTACTTCTTTTGCACCCCATGTATCTTTTAAACCAGAGAACATTTAAAAAATATTTTTGAATACTTCATAACTTGACGAAGAAATAAAAATATGAATTTAGTACTTTTTGAATATTCGGACGTTTAAGGGGTGAAAATTGTACCTATTTTTGGTACTTTTTTATAAAACATTGTTTTTGGTTTATTAACTTATACATATGAATACATAATAACGGGCTCCCAATACGATGTTGCAACTTTTTGGAACAGAATTTTTATTTCGGTAATGGGGAGGAAAAAAGTACCAAAAGGGGTAAAAACGGGAAATTTGATTTTATTCAAGAAACACTAAATATGCTCCAACTGGTACTTTTTGAGTTTTCTATGATATTGAAATCGAAACATGAAATTAATAATTAAGGGACTTTTCTGAACTTTTTGGTTCTACATTTTGAGTTTTCTATAAAATTTAACCTAGAAACATGAAATTAAGCAAGTAGAGTCCGGAGTAAATGGGAATCTATAAAATGGAACTTATTGGTACTTTATCGTACTTCGACAGGTACTTTTTTGACTTAGGACTTAGAAACATGTAATTAAGCACTTGAGAATCTATAAAAGTAGACTTCTGGGTACTTTTTCGTTCTTCAAAAGGAACTTTTTGAATTTTCTATAATATTAAACCTAGAAACATGAAAGCATGTAGAGGCCCGATTAAGTGAGAACCTATAAAAGGGGACTTTTTGGTTCTTCAAAAGGTACATTTTAAGTTTTTGTATAGAGCCCGGATTAAATGAGGTCTTCTAAAAGGGGACTTTTTGGTACTTTTTCGTTCTTCAAAAGGTACTTTTTGAGTTTTCTATTAAATTGAACATAGAAACATGAAATTATGCACGTAGAGCCCGGAGTAAATGAGAATGTATAAAATGGCACTTTTTGGTACTTTT